AAAAAATATCTCTAAAAAACATTAAAAAAATCGATTCAGCAGTTGGACCGTCGATTTTAGCCGATTTATTCCGATTCAACGCGGGGGCGGTTTTTAGGCCACTCGGAATCGGACCTCTGGCTGATTCAGGGTCAAAACGGTCGAACTGGTAAAAATGATCAGTGATAGAAGGAAAAATATTTATAGAGGACACAAACACTAACAGTAAGTGCATCTGGTCGAAAAAAAACAAAATCTTACTGTAACATAGGACTACAAGTCTTTTCAAAACCGTGTGATTTTTTTTAAACCTTCAAACATGCTTAATATTGTCTCCAATAGTTAGCTAACTATTAAACAATAAAATATTAAACGTATCATTAATTATTTTTAATCAATCTTCTAATTAATTATGATATTTTAATTGTTGATTATAAACTTTTATTGTAAGTATTTAGTTTACTTTAATATGACTATCAAACTACAACTTACTCAATATCTATGATTTATATTTTATGTAATATCCAATTAATATACTCTCTAATTTAAATAAGTAATTGTAAATTTTATTTTCATATTTTGATTAATTCTCTTATGCTATTTTTATTTTTAGAAATTATATTATTACATATATATAATTTTAATAAATTTTATTATTAATGTATAAAACTACAATTCTTACCTCAAAGCTCAACACAGCTTCCTGCCCTCCCTTGCATGGCTCTGCCTCCTCCCCTCTTCTTCTACTTGATACTTTTCTGTTTTTTTCCTCTGCATAAAAAATCGCATGGACCTTCTATCTCACACTCTCGGCTTCGCTCCTCCTTCGCAACAGAGCTTCTCGACACCTCTTCGACTTCATCGTCCACATCGAGCCCTAATGTCATGCCTCCTCCTTGGCTCGACGACACCGTCATCAATTGCCGTCGCGCTTTAAGCTTCGATCGATGCTCTGAGAAGCTCTAGACTGCACCCGTCAATCTCATACCTTCACACACACCGTTCGTCTCTCAAAGTAAGTTGATATTGCCTTTGCCTCCCTCGTGCACATAATTTTATAGAATGAAAGTAACGTCTGAGTTCTTGACTGTTCACTTCCTCTCTCTCTCTTCGACTCCCTCGAGGATATGAAACGAGACATCACAATCTTACCTACTTATAAAAATCTCGTCATCAAAATTTTTAAACAGATCACATGTCATCTCTTATGAAGCAGATTGACATAAACTATCCATAAATTTCATGATAAAAATTAGGTGTCATTCATTAAGATCACTAAAAAGTAAAGACCTGATATAATGTGGCTCAACTACACTCATTTCATCAACAAAATCAAGATAACAACATATCTAATATAAGACATTGTTACAAAAGAAAGAAAATATACTAGAAAATGCTCTTATATGTAAGTAAACGTCAAACTCATCTGACCCTATCACCATTAGTAGCAGTAGTAGGTTCTTCATGCTCACTATGAGTAAGGGAATAAACTCGAGATTGAACTAGTTGCCTTGGTTGAACCTTGAGTTGGAATTGAAGCTATAGACTCTGTCATTCTCCGCCCACTTGCAGTTTTCTGTGAAGGACTCCACCTGATTTCTAATTTTCATTGTTCTTTTGGCCAAGCGATGAACAATATCTTGTTATATGACCAAGTTGACGGCAGTAGTAGCATGTGTTAGAACCCATTAAACATTCACCTTTATGTTGTTTTCCACATTTGGTATAAGTGACTACAATATTTTGAGTTTTACCTCTACTAAATTCACCTGGATTAAACTTGGACTTCTTTCCATCGGATCCCTCAATTTATCTACAACTTCTCCTTCATCAATACTCTTCCTCATGTGCAAAAGAGTTTGCTCAGTCCTATAAGATCAACTACTTGGAGACATTTGTACTAGTGGCGATACCCACCACATTAAGATTATTACTGTCATTGGCTGTCAATCAACACTAGTCTTTACATTAGCTAGATATTAAAAATGCATTTTTAATGGGGATTTTGAGGAAGAGGTGTATATAAAGATACCTCAAGGACTAAGGAACGACACAAATAATCAGCTAGTGTGCAAACTAAAGAAATCATTATATGAGTTGAAACAATCTTCTATAGCATTCTCCCATAGCATCTTTTGAAACGTTCACCAAGACTATTCTTGTCAATGGATACTATCAATATCAGACCGTTAACATTATTTATGAAATCAAATCAAGTATATAGACATCTTTATTGTATATGTAGATAACATTATTCCTACATGTAAGGGAACTTGAATCAATCAAAGAAATAATGACTTATGAGTTTGAGATCAGATCTTGAAGCTTTAAGATACTTTCTTGGAGTAAAAGTTGTTAGATCCAAAGAAGGCGTTGTCATGTCTCAAGGAAAGTATATTCTTAACTTATTAAAGGAGATGGGAATATTGGGGTGCAAACCAACAAATACTCTTATGGATCCCAATTGAAGAGCATCAAAAGGAGAAAATAACACCCCAATTGAAAATGGATGTATCAAAGAATTGTGGGGAAACTTAATTATCAGATATAGGACTTGACATTGCTTTTTTTGTGGTTGTAGTGAGCCCACATATGAACTAATCAAATGAAGATCATTTAAAACTGTTCTTTTGAATTCTGAGGTATCTAAAGTTGACTTTAGGATGTGGATTGATATTCAAGAAAATTTAGAATCGTAACATTGAGATCTGCTTTAATGCTAGCTGAGTTGGAGAACTAACTGATAGAAGATCTACCACGGGTTATTGTTCATTTATATAGGCTAATCTGGTTGGAGAAGTAAAAAATAAATTGTGGTGGTAAGTAGTGCAGAATATGACTATCATGCAATGACCCTAAAAAATTGTGAAGGGGCTAAAGAGATTATTGGTGGAACTACACATTGTGAACAAAAAAACACTATTAAGAATATTTAGTGATAGTCAATCAACCATCAGTTTTTCAAAGAATCTGGTACACCATGATCGAACCAAATATATAGAGATTGACAAACACTTCATTTCTAAGCAGGTCAATTGAGGGATTTTCTAGGTAGGCTATATTTCGACTTAATATTAGATTGTTGACATTCTAACCAAAACTCTTCCTCGACACCATTTTAGTGATCTCAGGAACAAGTTTAGGATGCCTGGCATATACGACCCAACTTGACATGGATTGTTAATATGCATATCAGTGGAGTGCATGTGCCCACCCATGGTTTAGGTAGGGCTGTAAAAAAGAATTTGTTGTTCGTGAATAGCTTGTGTTTGGCTCGCTAAGTAGTCCGTGTTTAATTCGTTTGTCAAGCAAACGGGTCAAACACGAACAGGTAGTCCGTGTTCAATTCGTTTGTCAAGCAAACGGGTCAAACACGAACAAATTTTTTGAACTCGATTTATAAACGAGCCGAGCACGAACAAAATTTTGTTCAACTCAATTCAACTCGAATTATTGAAAGAATAAATAATAAGTATTAGTATAATATTTATATTTTATTTAAAAAAAGTATTAAATTTTATTAATATTAAAACAATTTTAGCTAGTATCGAAAAATAAAATGTGTTAGATATGTAAGTACATAAGAATTAGGTGCTATGTATGTAAATGCGAAAAACAATTGCGGCTTTGTGGCCTCTGCTTGTGCTCCTCTTAGTCCCACCCGCGGTCCCACACTCCCACTTCCCTCTCATCACAAAAAACAATGTCGAACATGTAAATATGTATGATTTGCGTGGTATGTATGTAAATGCTTGAAACTCTTCATAGCAACCCTCCTTCGTCCAGCAGTCCCATGGTCCCACGGCTCTTGTTCTCCCACTCCCTCTCCCTCATTTAATCCCATAACATGGATAAAAGAAAAAAAAAAATTAACTTATGCTCTATAAATTATGCATAGCAATGTTTGGGAAAACATCATCACACTTGATTCTGCCACGTTACTGGAAGACTTTTGAAGTAAAAATTAATTTTATAATTTAGTTATATTATTTGATTTATTAAATTTAAATAATTATTATTTCGTGCCGAACACGATAAACAAACGAGTTTAAATCGAGTTGAACTTGAACAAGTTATTCATGAGCTTTTTTGAACATGAGCTGAAAACGAATAACAAAAAATTCGAGTGAGCCAAACATGAATAACAAAAAATTCGAACGAGCCGAACACAAACAAGCTTTACGCTCGCTCAAGCTTGGCTCGTTTACGCCCCTAGGTTAAAGGAAACCGTGGTCCATTGCTACATTTGAGGTGGAGAAATTATCCTCCCTTTAATTGTCCATTATTGCGTTTTATTTTTTCTTATCATTATGATTTAAATTTTCTCTTAAATTGTATGAGGGATTGTCTGAATTGTATGTATTTTTTATTTTGCTTGTATTAGTTTAATTAATAAATTAAAGTGTTTTTCCTTTAAGAAAGTTCCTCCAAGATTCCACAACTGGAATAACTCTAATGCTACTAATTTACTCTTCAGCAAAATGCTGCAGATCATGCACTTGAAAAGATGCTCATGCCATGCTGTCTAATCATGTGCTTTTTATATGCTAGTCAAGCCTTCTTTAGATGAAGCGTATTCTCTATCTTTGACATGTGCAGGACAACATCATTTCTTCTTACATCTTTCATTTTCATGTTCTTCATTCTATTTGTACCGAGTTTGGTGAGAGCATGATTACCCACCTTGATCAACACACTAATTTGTACTAGTCAACATGCCCAAGCCCATCTGGAGGCAATTGTGTTCTATCCGTATCGTTTGCATCATTATTTCTAGCTGCATTTATGAAGCAGTTTAATGATGATGCAGGGAAAATTTTGGCCTTTTTTGTATTGATAAGGACTTAAAATATATGCTTTCCTTGACCGTTTTATGATGCCATTATATTTGCTCTGCTATTTGATTCATTATGGAACTAGCTTATTATGACAATATTTTGAGTAAATGAAAATTAATAAGAATATTGTCATATAATTATTTGACTTGACACCTTTCCTGATTATACTGACTAGCTCTGTAGATGATAAGGTAACTGTTCTGGAGTCAGAAAAACGGGCATGGGAGAGTTCCCCTGAGGCTGAAGCCATAAAAGAAGCTCTGAATCCCTGGAGACGGCTTGATGAAGACAAAAGTAGACCATGACCAGTGAAGTTGAATTGCAAGGCACATTTCATTGACCTCGTTGACTATCCTCCATTACATCGTTTGACAAGTTCAGATGAAAATTTTTCAGTTGGGAAGTTGTTTTACCAGATGTTCTTCTCTGGTTTATCTGGTTTTGTGCTCCAGGCATCATCAGAAGTTTTATTATTATAGTGGTATCATTGCTGCTCCTGGTCTCTACCACCATGGTTGGTAGTTGTGCTTCGTGTAAACTTTATTTTCGACGATAATAAGTTGGGAGCCATCTTTTCGTTACTCTACTGGGAATTCAGTTGGGACAATCTTGATTGCTCTCGTCAGGAATTGGGGAGCATCTATAATTTATAATTTTGTAGACACTTTCATGTCCTTTAACTAATAAAACTTATTAATAAAATTTGTTAAAAAATCACCTTTAATCCATGGCCAAAGATTGTCAAATCTGACTGTTTATCACTTGAAAGCATATGCTGCGATTTCATGCGATTTTCTAATATGTTGTCAGGTAAGCATGCAGCATCATTTATACAGGGGAAATGGGGCAACTTTGAAGCATGATTTTAAGTCCTTTTGAGGCTCTGATTCAATCAGAAGGGCTATTAAGTGGGATTTTTTAAAAATAGAGTAATTATAATGCTTATGTTTTAAAAATGTCAGTCTTATTTGGTTTGATGTAAATCAATAGATCAAAATATGGTGAATGGTTGCAGGCAAGGAGATGATGCAAGAGGGCGAAATTTTGAAAACAGTTATATTTATAATTTTAGTTAGCTAAATCTGTAAGTTGAAGACAATTTAAATGTGGGTACAGTCATTAAATATGTTGGTGATGCTAGTCATGTAATATGTTGCCAGAAGCAATTACGACTAGGATTTGAACCAATTTTATTCTTTAAATAAATTGGGCTGTAATAATAAAAGTAATGTATGTCATATAATTCTCGTCCGATTTTGATGTTCTTGATATCGTTGTAAATGTAACAGGATTCTCTATGATTTATGTGCTGACCGCTCTTGATGAATCTCGACAAATAAATGGCAATAATTGCCAATATTTGAAGTTTGTTGAAAAATGGTAATTAAAACTTACCCCGCAGCGATAGGATCACAGTACATCATTAAATTCTAGTCCGATTTGACGTTCTTGATATCAATGGAAAGGTAACATAATTTTCAACAACTTTTATGTTGATTGTTCTAGTCGAATCTCGAGAAAAAAATCAAAGCCATTACGAGTGTTCACATTAATTTTGAAAAATCATAAATTGATTCCCCCCCTAGCGATAAAAACCCCGTACTTTGCTTGATTCTCGTTCGATTTTGATGTTCATATAGTTGGAAAGGTTACAGAAATCTTTATAACTTTGTGTTAGCCGCTGGGGGCTAATTTCGATAAAGAAATCGCAGTAATTGGAAATGTTCGAATTTCGTGGCAAAGCAATATTGGGAACCCACGCCGTGGAGATAAAAACACCGCACATTGCTCAATTCTGGCCGCTGGGGGCTAATTTCGATAAAGAAATCACAGTAATTGGAAATGTTCGAATTTCATGGCAAAGCAATATTGGGAACCCACACCGTGGAGATAAAAACACCGCACATTGCTCAATTCTTGTTCGATTTCGACATTCCTAATTTCATTGGAAAGGTGATATAAATTCATATAACTTTTGTGTTGATCCCTAGAGGTGAATTTCAAAGAGGAAATCACAACAATATTTAGTGTTCGAATTTCGTGACAAAACAATATTGGGAACCCACACCGTAGCAAAAAACAACCACACATCGCTTAATTTTCGTCTGAAATCGGACAAAAATTGAGCAATGTGCGGTGTTTTTATCGTTGTGGTGTGAGTTCCCAATATTGCTTTGTCACAAAATTACATTAGTTGCAATTTCTGCGATTTTGACGTCGAGATTCGTCTCAAGCGGTTAACATAAAAGTAGTAGAGATTTTTGTAACCTTTCCAATGATATCAACAACATCAAAATCAGATGTAAATTGAGTCATGTACATAATTTTTCTCGTTGTGGGGTGAGTTTCAATTACATTTTTTCAAAATTAATGCGAACACACTCAATTGCTGCGATTTTTGTCAATACGTTCTATATAAGGTGTTGTTGTAATGGGCTAAGGGACTTTTGGGAGCAATTTGAGTGTGTATGTGACAAGAGAGGTGTATTATATGAGGTGCTTGGAGAGAATTTGATCTCCATGTGTTTTTATGTATATTTTATAAACATGATTTGTAACTACGTCCTAACTCCTTTTGGGCTCTTATTTGTGTGGATGTTTTGATCTAGATGATATTTTGCATTTGGGGAAATAACTTAATGTGTTAATTTTGTGTGTTTCCTTTACATTTCAAATTGGCCATTTGATAAATTAAAAATTGTTGTGATCTTGTTATTTTGGAAGAAATCTAGCGGAACAACTAAGTTAATACACACATTTTTGTTAGTATAGGAATATTGCTACTAGGATAATACAATCAATATAATATATTAAATCCTGATAGTTTTTATATGATCTAGAGAACTAAACTATAATATGAAATTCTAATACTTCTTAAAATCTCACAAGAGAATGAAAAGCAAATTTCTCGTTTGACAATCATAGTAGGAAAACTTAGATTAGATCTAAACTTCAGTACATCACTCCTCAAGGGAGATATTCATTATTAAACTTAAGAACCCAATAGTATTTTCATTGTTGTAGACATATAATTTTTAAACTAACTTTTGAAATTGTTAGAATTGGTAAAATGAGTAGGTTGTTAGGATAATACTTGACTTAATTTAGTAGGTAATTGAGCTCTCCCTGTGATCAATCTCTCAGACTCAAAAATCGAATACTATTTAATCGACTTATATACTTGTGTGATAATATTTCTTTTGTTGTGTAGTCAAATCAATATTAAAATAGCAAATCCATAAATTCAGTCATTTATATTCATCATACCATGTCTTAATTGAGCATATTGAGTTCATTACTAAGATATGTGCAACATTACCCTCCAAATAACTTATTATAATGAGATTACTCAATTGCTTGGTGGAAGTCTCAACGCACTCCAAATATTATTATTTTTAAAACCACACAATTTCATATCAAAAGCCCTACAATCCTTATAATATTTAAATATAACAAACCAAGTACTATATACAATCACATCATCACATACAATTACATTCTCATACATAAAACATTTAAGAAAACATTAAAATAATTGGAGATTATCATGCTAATTATTTTATCATGTCTGATATTATAACACACTATGTGGAAGAAGAAATGATAATTCATGTTAAAATGTAGAAGAAATATGTTGTTTTTAGTGAAGATTTAAAAAGAATTGCCAAACCCAAAACACCATAGTGGCTCAATTTTTCGGCTATTAGAGATAAGTTTGAATCAATCAAGTAGCTTGGGGGTGAATTTGCCTAGGAGAAACAAAAATGAGAAGAAGAATCATGGTAGCTTCTTTGTACATGTTAAAAGGTTCTACCATAAGTAAAAGAAATTATAAATTTTGTTAGTAGACTCATTGTGGGTCAAATTTTGTTTTTTAGTTATAAAACTTGATCATAACACTATTTTATCATGTCCATGTTGTTGGTTAAAAGGATGAAGGCGTTTTGGGGTCGTTTCTTGTGTCCACCACATATTATAAAAGATTTCTATCTAAATGATTAGATAAGTCATTTGATAGTATACTATCTCGAGATGTATAAATATTACTTTAAGATGGATCTAACTATTCAGATGAGGAAAATATTTAAGATTTCTGGGTCTACATAACCAAAGATTTTTCCTCTACCTTAAATGTGTAAGATGGGGTTTATTTATTGTTGAGTCTAGTAGCCCTCATATTTATTACATCTTTAGAATTGTGGCTTCCAAGAATACTCTCAATTAAAACATTGGATTATTTCAAACATGATTATAAGGTAAAGTGTCTTAAAGATTGGTGTTTTAGGGCTCATATGAATAGACGAGTTTGAAAAAAAAATGGATAGGAATTCAAAAATTGGGACTTACAGTCTAAGGATGTTGTGTCACTAAAGGGCTCAAGAAGAGGGTTAGCCAACTATGGGAAGAAGGCATGCCGTGGGATCTGGTGACACTATGAAATGTTCAAGTCATAACTTATCCGGGTTTAATTCAATGATCTAGCGACACTATACAGGATGGCTTAAAACCCAATGAGATTGGATATAAGCTAAGGAAAAGAGTGAATGAAAAATAAGATCATCATATGTCATGTGGTTGCTCGAGCTAATTCCATACCACTCAACAAGCACTCTATAGAAATTATATCATTAATCTTTTATAACTGCTCTTCTTGACTTGGATAGTTGTTGCCAACAGACTAGTATTTTTTTTTTGTCAACTTGACTAGTATTAAAATTTTTAATTATACAAACTCTATTTTGACCAAACTTGAATTCACATGAATTTGATCAAATCTTGATGAATTTAGACAACCTCACACAAATTGAGTTAACCATCTTAAAAAATACTAAGTTGGTATATCTTGTCCCTTTAGGTTTGGGATAAATTCTTTCATAGTTATAAATATTGCTTGAAAACTTCACAAATATATCCTTTCTTCTAAATTTAAGATGAATTCCCTTAGCTTCTTTCATCTTAAATCCTATCTTGCAAGCAATGATTAAACCAAAGGAAAAATATTAAAAGGATATTCTAATTAAGATAAAATACCAGTAAAACTAGAGGTGAAGATTAAACATTTTTATAAGAACCATAAAAAAAGATTTCTTACTTCAAAATAGTATTAACTTAATTTTTTCTCAAGTGGGTTGAAAAATAAAGTTTTAATGGTTAATTATTATTATTATTATTATTATTATTATTATTATTATTATTTTGCCAATTATAATTTATGTAGGGCAAATTCAAAGTTTTCAAGGTAAAATTAGAGCTTATACTTCATCTCATAGAAGGGCATATGACTATAAACTTTAAATTTGGCTTAACGTCATGCTAATGTGGGATGAGTCATCAAATATGATAAGGAATTTATCATGAAATCAAATTTATATGAAGAGAAAAATTTATAGTGCCTTCATTTTTGAAATCCAAATATCATTACTAAATAATATTATTTAATTGACAAATATTCATTTTAGAAGGGATCAGATGCTAACTCAAATAATACACACCATTCTCTTTACGCTTGATGTGTGTCAGAAGCTCCACGATGGTAAAGTGATGAATTATCATCTTAATGTTGCACGAAAATCCAACTCACACTCAGATAATAAAAGAGAAGTAAGTAGAAGGTGATACCTCAAATTTTATAGAAAAATCCTGGAAAAGGAAAAAAATTATGGAGCCTAACCTAATTGAAGCAATTCAATATGAATGACAAGTTCACAGATCCACTCTTCTTCTAA